CATGTTTTACTGTCCTGTGGTCTCAGCCTCAGATACTTATCAAATCACACAAAGCTCATGTAGAAACAAACAAACAAATGAACAAAATATGTTCTCCTTCATTTCTGTCAAACAAAGTTGTATGACACGTTTCCAGCTGTTAGTATCATGGTTGCTAGGCAACCTGGGAAGCGCGACGTAGACTAGACCGTCCCATACAGACAAACTTGCTGTTTATTTTGCAAATCGAGCTCAACACTGCCCCTAGCGTCCTGGAGCACTTCCGTTGTGTTTTGGAATTTGCATGTGTTTTGGGGTTTGCATGTGTTTTGGATTTTGCAAGTGTTTTGGAGTTTGCAAGTGTTTTGGAGTTTGCAAGTGTTTTGGAGTTTGCAAGTGTTTTGGAGTTTGTATGTGCTTTGTCTCTAGGGGCCACCGTATTTTATTAAAGATGAAGGAAAGAAAGAAATTGGACAGTTTGTAACTCTCAGTGATGCCGCAGAGTTCCTTTGACTTTGGGATCTGCAGCGGAGTTTGGACCTGGAAACAGCTAATGACATCAGACTTAAAGACCGGATAGCATCTCTATTGCTTAATACATAATTGTGTTGTGAATATTCATCCTTAATCTGTATAAATGCATATGGTTCTGAAAAATTATAGTAATTACAAAATGGTACATTTCAGGCTAGAATTGCAAAGGGGAACCTGTCAGAGGAACGAAACAGAAGGAACAGGGAGGATCAAAAAAGGAGAAAAAAAATTAACAGCCAGCCTGAGTTGAAGAAAGAGATATATAATTTAAAATATATATTTTTGCATTTTTTTGTGTCTGATGGTGTTGACAAAAACCTTGCACTTCTCCAGCAAAAACATAAATTATTAAAAAATATTACACCTGGCAGATTGTACCAAAACATGGTGAGACAGCCAAAACTTTGTGTAACAATTATATGTAAATGGGGTTTTTTTTCAAAAAATATATTTTAGAAAATTAAAACCTGTTTTGTCCCTAACCTCAGGAATTACTGATACACATAATACTTTTAAGTTGTAGAGTTTAATCTGTCTGTAGGAACAATGTGAATACTGCTCCCATGACCTCACCGGTCCGTCCGTCTCTGATGCTGCTGCGTCCTGCTGAGCTGATTAAAAGATCAGCTCCGTGCTCACAACTGCTCATCCTTAAACTTGTTACCTCAGTTTATCTGGTCTTCAGGTGATTTTATCCAGCTGTTTTTAACCATTAAGCTTTCCTCACCATGGCCTCACGTAAAACTTCAGTATTTATCGATCTGTCACTTCACGGATATCAGTGTTACTCACACCTTTAGCGCCATCTTTTCACCATCTATTTCCTCCTCGCTCTCAGATGTGCGACTGATGTAAGGATTCATTTAGAATTGTCATTTGATTGCTGGCTCTGCAGATCTTTCGTTTAGATAATAAATCGCTTCTTGAAGAACTGAATCTTGGTTGTGGCATATTCTATCTCAGAAGCTATTGGATTTTTCTCCTATTCTTCTCGAATTTAAGAATCTAATTTCTTTCTCATGAAGTTTTCACTTTTTCCTCTGATCAATATCCTCTGACTAAAAATTATAATTTGTCAAACATTTTTGTTGAGTAAACAAACAAAACAAAAACGCTTTTTTCAGAACACAACAAATGAAACTTTATTAACAGTCTCACATTGACAAAAAGACTTAGGAGCATAAAAAAGTTCCTCTAACATTTTCATCATCTCACTTCTTTATTTATAAAAAGTACAAACAGAAAAGAGCCAGGAGTCAGAGACAGGAAGCAGGCGAGCAAGTTATCAGGATGCTCCGGCTGGTCCCGGATAATTAGCACACCCGCTCCTAAAACAGACTTCCATAAACTTTATTCACACAACAGTCACGCTGTCATCAGGGGTCAAAGGTCAGTGAACGACAGAGTTGAGGGGTTCAGCTCTGATGTTTCCTAAATCCAGAGTGGAGTCCGTCTCCTCATCGATCTCCCCGATCACCGCACTGTAACCAAAACAAGAAAAAAAAATGTAACCACAAAAACAAACGAGGGGATTACAAACAAAAACAAACAGGAAGAACAAATAAAAACAGAAAGGAAAACAATAAACAATGATAAACTACATAACAGAACTGTTAACAACACCTTATTGTTTAAGAATAAGAGTCTTTCTCTTGGTTTTCCTTCATAAAAATAACTTTAAACAAACAAAAACAAAACTCTGATAGGGGTACCCGGATCAAATGTGCAACCACAGCATTCATCCTTAAAGCATCACAGAAAAAAACTTTTACATTTTTTTCTTAACTCTTAATTATTAATTATCCCGTTTTGCAATAATAAATTATATATTTATAAAATAATAAAATTGGTAAACCATGTGAATCTGATTCTGTAGATTAAAATTTACATTAAGGCCTCACTAATCTTTTGTCTTCAGTATTGATTCATCATCAACAAAGGTCAAACGTGACTTACACGTTGTCGCCTCGGACAATGTAGAGTCCCAGCACCACCTGCTCGACTCCCTGACTGGAGCTGAACACTCTCTCGTGACTCTCATCCAGGATCAGATTGATGGTCTGATCAAAGCCCTTCAGAGTGCCCTGAAAAAACAAACAAACTGACATGAACACAACTTACAATAACAAAAAGTTACAATCCAAAATAATTCTGACTTCACTGAATCCCAATTATTGTGAGTGGAGTTCTGATGAGGATGTGTTCAGACTCACCACAATCATCCTGCCGTCCGAGGTGACAATGGCCACGGTACCTGGATCAGCACGAGTTAAAGAAACAGCACCTTTATGGACCAAAACCTCTCTAATATTATTCAGAACCTACAAATAGAAACAATTATCGTCACACCAAAATTGAAAGCTATCCCGTCCACCCATTCTGGCCACAAGAGGCGCTTGTAACCTTAGCTTCTGTCTGTTAATAAGCTCCAGCTTTAAAACTGTAGGTAGTATGGTTCCAAAATTTAAAAAAAAAAAAAAAAAAAAGCTTAAGATTTTACAATTTTTCGAAGTGGTCCAGATGTGATGAGTCCTGATGAATCAAACTGTGAAATCATTTACAGAACTTCTCTGATCAGCGGGTCCAAATAATATAAACACAGCAATAAAATCACGAGATTTTCCTACTTGTGAATGTGAAATCTACATTTAAGAAGTGTGAACATGTTTTAACTCAGCTCTGAGCAACCCGTTTCTCACAGACATCTCTGAACTGCCGCTAATTAACAAAACAAGTAGCATGCAGCTAAGCTAACTAGCATTTTCCCATTCATTCAGAGGGTTTGCACATTAGTGGCTAACGGCGGAAGGATACGGTTAATGTAGCTCTCCAGCGCAGTGGACATCCTTTGTCCCGGGCTCGGTGTCTATTTATCCAGCGGGGTGGTCGACAAATACTTATAGTGGTAGTCCGGTGACAAAATAAAACCGTGCGCACTCGAACAGCAGCAGTAGCAAACGGCTAACAACACACTGGAGCGCAGACTAGAGCAATCAAACACTGAGCATGCATGAGAGTAGAGCGCCGAGCGGAAGCGTCACATCCGGTTTGTGTTAACTCTCAAAAAAGAAAACAGTAAAACCTGCGAAACTTAAAGAAATAAAAAAGGTGGAAAAATAGGAAATACAAAAGAAAAAAACGTCAAGTTTTCTAGTAAATTTGTCAAGTTTATAAGAGAAAAAACAAAATTATGATACAAATTGGTAAACTTACATGATACAAACTATTTTTTGACTATTTCTTTAATGACTCTAAAACATTAAATATTTATTTTCTCGCTTTTCACCCTATCCCTTAATTTTTATCTTTAATTATTTTAAATATTTATTTCCTTCCTGTGCTCCATCATAGTTAATAACCACTTTCTGTTTATTTCAATATCTTTTCAGAGCCCTCAGATGCTTCTTTGAATAGTAAAAATATTTATGACTCATTTCTGAAATATAAATGATGTGATCCACATACAAAATGCCCACCGGAAGTGATGTCATTTCCTGTAACTAGAAAAATACATACATGTTTTTACAGTTATGTGGTCCTCACAGGAAAGGATGGTTAAAAAATTATGACGATTTTAACAAATATAAGCCATTAGCGTAGATTTAACTACCAAACACAATAATAGGCATTTGAAATTAGCTTAACATGGAATAAAACAGTTTTGGGATCTTTGGATAATTTAAGGAAATCTAGTTAATGCTCTCTAAATGCACAACTATTACGTACACTTTAATGTCATTTTGAAAAATTAAAATAGTGGTAACCATGAAGGTGAAGATGTCCAGGCTGAGTGGTAAAATGGTGTTGAGAAACTTTCAGCACAGGAAAGACAGGCAGGTCTGCTTTGCTTTTCTTTCTGTCAAAGATGTAAAATTAAATACGTATTAGGAAAAAAAATCATAAATAAACTTGTGTGTGTTGATGTCAGACAACACACAGAGTCCAGTTCTCCCAGCAGGTCTTCATCTTTATTGTTGCTCAGTAATCGTCCATACAAAGGCGGGTGGAGGAGAGCAGTGGAGCCCGACAGGACAAACAACAGGAACGTCATGCTACCAAAGTATTAAATTTGTACAAAAATACTTTACAACATCCCTGTTCCTTTAAAGAAAAATACAGTTTGGTTGGTTGGTGAAGCTACATGGAAACTAATCTGACCCACTATTTCAAATGGCAGTGCAATGCACGTGTGTGTGTGTGTGTGTGTGTGTGTGTGTGTGTGTGTGTGTGGTTGTAGGTAGGTGGATGTCTTGCTGAGGTGAATCACTAGAGTGCAAATCCCTGCAATGTTACACACACATACACACACACACACACACACATACAGGCTCTAACAAATACACACCCACACACATGGTGATGTTAATACATGCGCACAAACACAGTGTGTATGGCTTTAGGTCTCACTCATCAAACCTTTGTGAAGCCACACCCCTCAGCCCTGTGGCTTGTTCCCATTGGTGGAGCAGTACTCTTGGCTGAACCTTAAAACACTAACATCTACGTGTTAGCCCTCAATTCAAGGCATTAGCTCTATATTAGCAATGTGAACCATTTCCTTAGACCTTGTTAGTTCTCTTTAATCAACCTGTAACTACTACCTCGGCTAAATGCTAGCTGCAAGCTAAATTATAGTTCATGTTAGTCATGTGCTAACATAAACCACAAATCAGTAGAAGCTGACATAAAACTGACATACTCTCTTGTTAGCAGACATTTTTAGCTCCTTGGTTACCCGTTATGTTTACCTACCTACAAACCAACCAAGCCCTTGCTATGTTAAGTTGTAACCACAATAGTAAATGGTGTTGAAAAATTGTACAGCTAACTTACCACCCATGTACTATGTGCAACTAGCCACATGTTATAGTTAGCTCTAATGCTCTGCATCAACTACCACATGCTAAACTGTAGTTCTATTATCTCCCATGTTAGCTTTTTGCTAACAAGAGAAAAACTTTGTTTTGCAAATGTAAGCCCTATGTTAAAGGTTTGTAAGGGCAGTGCTGGCACTAGCCGTGTGCTAACATAAAAAGTTTAGGTTTGGATAGCTCTTTATTCATATGCTAATTAAATTACTTATATGCTTATTAACTAATAAATATAGCAAGAAATGGGTGTTACACATAGAAAGCCTAATTTTCTTGTTCTATGTGTATAGTCATGTGTTATGGTTAGACTAGTCCTATGCTCAATGTCTGCTAGATACATACTAATCATGTGTTAGTAATGTCCTCAGACCAAGTTAGGCTGCTCACTTATCAGTTGAATTTGATGTGTGGTATACTGCTTTTGCTAAAATTAGAAACCGTGACTTAGTACTAACCATAAGCTAAATAGCTCTGTTATCCCCATGTAAGTTATGCGTTAACATAAGCCAAAAATCAGTAAGAGATCTTCCTTGGAATTAAAATACCCTTATGTTAGCATTGTCTGCATTACGTAAACCCCGTGTTCAACATCTGTTGATCACATGCTAAAATGTATTTCTGTTATCGGTTATGTTTGCCTAATGCAAATAAGAAAAAAAGTCTTTATTTAACACATTAGCCCAATTTTAAAAATGGGCACAAGTTGTGCTTAACTGTGTCCTGATACACAATAGGATGTTACAATAAATGTTAGCTTTGGCTAGCTGTTTAAATATATGCCAACCAAGTTCTTTCTTTGTGATTAGCTAATAAACATAATAATAAATGGATATCAAACACAGCCAGCCTATGGTCCTTGTGTTATGTCTGTTATGATTACGCTAGCCCTTTGTTTAGTGTCTGCTAGCCATATGATAGCTATGTCCTTAGATCAAGTTAGCCTGCTCAAGTGTCAGTGTAATACCAGGTATAGAGCTGTTTCAGCCTTTTTCTAGTCAAGATGCTAAAAGACATTAATTAGCTCTACAGCTAACCGTACCTTAGTGAAGTGCAAGGTTTGTGCTAACAATACACAGACTGTGCTAGTACTGGGCTAGCTGTGTGCTAACATAAAAAAAAATGTTGGTTAAATTTTAGCTTTGGTTAGCTGCTTTTACCCATGTGCTTACAAGTCTCTTGCTATGTTTATTAGCTAGTAAACATAGTTGGGATAGTAGTTTGTACTGTGTATATAATTATGGGTATGTTCTGTGTCTGCTAGCATAATGCTAACTACATACTAGCCATTTGCTTGCAAAAAAAACCCCCATCTGAGTTTTTAGAAAATTTTGGGTAGACCAGAACAGCCAATTACAACTATCCACATAGAAACAGCCAATCACAATGCTAATCCAAAGCACAGCAGCAACTATTGGAGTTTTTGGCTCAGGGATGCTGAGGGAGGGTTCTGATTGGCCACTTTAAATAATGAGTTAAGACTAAGGTGAGAGCAGGAAGATGTTGACATCACTCGAAAATAAACACTCACTCACTCTCTCTCAGACACACACACACACACACACACACAC